AGCGTGTGATGTGATGAATAGAAAGAACTGACAAATTTGTATCTTCTAGGAGTAGTTGCTTTTAGAACGAAGAAGAAGCCTAACATGAAAGATAAGAGACTTTCTGATTAGCCAAGGAGATTGCCTGAAACCAGCATGAACTACTCGAACACTCGGTTCAGGTCGAATAGATCGAGTTCAGAGCAGGCAAGTCATCCTTGGCTACCAAATGAAACTCTTGTCTTCATGTTAGCCTCTCTTCTTCTTCTTGTACTCAAGTCCAATGCTTCAATAATTTCTTGCATTCATGTCTGCATTTATAGGGAATGGAGCCGAATACAAGATCAGATTCCAAAGCCCACTTATATTTGAGGAGGACCTCCCTAAGTCAATTTGCGGCATACAAATCCTCTCCTTTTAATTTGTCCATTTTTTCATATGCATGTAATAATTCTTATCACTCTCATAGTTGACTAAGCTCCCCATATAAGAATATATCCTTTTTATCAGCGCAGGGTTTACAGGTGTGTAATGCTCACTGAACTGAGCAAAAAAGCCAGCTGAAAACTTAGGAAAAGATATCGATGAATGGCTATTAATCAGGTATTTATCAGCATGATCCTGTTAAATTTTCCTTGAGGCAACTTGGGTTAAAGTCAATATTCCTGTGCTTTAGTTGCATTTCAGAAAAAAGTGGGCTGCCTCGGGCAATATTTGAATTGCAATGCATTTCATTAATTAAGACCCAGCTTGGCAATGGACTATATCAGATGATTTCTTGGCATAAAATCCTGAATAAAAAGATTAAATGAGGTCCTTTATGAACAGAGTTTGCACTAAGTATTTACTTCTTTGCCAGAACCGCTTGAATGTGCCGATGCTAGATATGAGTGGTGAAAAAAGATATAGTTGACAAATCATATAATGGTACTATTGGGTCCAGAAGGCCAAGCTAGCCATGCAGGTTTTAGCTTGAATTCAAAGACAATTTCATTTTCCATACCCACAACTGTTATCCTGAAGAATGGGTTTATGGGTGTCTCTGTTCCTGACCGTCACAATACATCCACTTGGAATGTTTCTGACCTGTCTTCATCCAAAGCACCACAATATCTGATAACAAAGGTTCTTGTTTTGAATTTGGATTCTTGACTAAAGTTGAATTTCATTTTAAGCTTCCTTCTTTGAGTGAGAGAATTCTTGGCAAGCAGACTTATCAATCCTCTTATCCTTCAATACTTTTTGTGTGTACGTACAGATCTCAATGGCATGGAGGCATCAACTTGTGAAAGATGCCCTCCAGAGGTAAAGTCGCCGACTCTGCCACCAATCACAGGCTTCTTTTCTTTCTTTTTCTTTTTTGATGGTGCTGATGGACTTTGTTCACTTGGCTTACTCTTGCACCTTTTCTTTGGATTTGATATTCCATTTGTAGCAATCCCCCCAAAAAATACCTTGATGGGGACCAGTTAAATTACATGTCGTGGACCGATAATAAGATCATCAATCAGAATGAGAACATCACCGAAAGGAAAAGAATGCAATTCTTTCTACAGTTGTGAATCTCATTCCCTTCTGGAATTTTCATTTCTGGAAAGCACAGAGACATTTCCATGCGTAGCTCCACAAGTGCAGCTGAGTTTTAAAGGAAAGATTTTGAATTCAGGTTGCCAGAAATGTGTATATAGCTTCTAAATGGAGAGAGAAAGAAAATGCTTGAAGTAAGATAGTTCAGGGTTGTGATTTGAGAGTGTGCATCAACACTGAATTAGACCTTCACTTCTCCAATGGAAAAGCTATAGTGCAGTAATGTCTGTCAAAGCAAAGAGGCTTTAGTTCTGTTCTGGTAGCTTCAAAAGAGAAGTGCATGTTTAGAGTAAGTCAGAACCCATGCCGTGGCCGAGACGAGGGTAATTGGGAACCATTTCATGATAATCAGGAAAATAGAAGTGGGAGATGAAATCATGTGATATTTTCTGTAAAAATATATGAACTTGCAATTAAGTTTTTAAAGTCGCCACTGGATTAACATAATTTTGAATATGCACCATGTTTTTTTCACGACGTCTGATTGACTCAATTTTTTCGCCTAGGAAAGCTCGTGACGAATGTATTAAAAAATGTGGCCTGGTTGACAAATTTTACACTAACAATGGATTTTCTAAACTACACAAAACAAAATACTCAACTTATTCCACGCTAGTAATTAAAAACAACACAATGTAGAACGCTCAACTTGTTCCGCGCTAGTCCTGCCCTTGCTCTGTTTGATGAGCATTTTGGGAGGGTCCTTACTTACTTATAGATCAATTCGCAAGTCCCCTCACATTGATGACAAATTCTTCAATCTAGTACGATCATTGACTAATGTGGCAAACTAATCAACAACTCAACCCTAATAAAACTGTTAAACATCAAAACAAATAACATACACCCATCATATTAACCTAGAAAAATAAAATCACACGAGAAAAAACAAGAGCAACGATAATTCACATATACATTGAAATTTCTCTTTGCGGGTATTGCGAAGAACGGGAACAACTGACATGGAGCTAATGTGCCAGGTGAGACACAAGCTGCTCTCAAGATTCAAGGCCCTTAAAACATGTCTGGCCTGGGTATTTACAGCAGAGCAATGAGAAAGCAACTGGGTTTCTTCTAAAGCCGAGTTTAGTCTAAATTGACCAACAATCGAAAACGTTAAATCCTGTTTCTGCACTTTATCATTAATTTATCTAAAAATTGGATGAAGATAATTTTTTTTACCAATAGATTTTTTGACACTATCTACCGTTGTAATAATTAAATATTAAACCATGGAGTTATTTGACAAGTTAAACTTTTAGAACAATTGGTAATGATCTCATAAATTTTCACATGATATTAGAGCACGAGGTCCTGAGTTCATTTCCAAGCCTTTTATCTGTCTTCCAAAATTTTTAGAATAGTTGGCAGTAATTCAACAAATTCTCGCATTAACAAAATCTACCGATATAGGAAAAAATTCGTTTTTTCAATTGAACAGTAGAACTGTTTGGTAGAGAATTACCCAAAAAGATTGTGTTAACTATCATTTAAATTGGATATCCATACTTTGCCGATGCTTAAAAAAGGGAATGAAGTCTATGATCTAAATCACAAAATTCTTAAGCTTCAAGTTCAGTTCCAGCTTGAATTTAGATTAATTTGAAGTTGAACTTAACTTGAATTTATAGTTCCAACTCTTCAAACTTTGATCACATCAACTTGATATATATCATGAGCGTCGATCCTTATTGGTGTATTATGTCACTCTAAAACATGCTCTTAGAAAAATTTGTGTTCACTATCTACAAATCCAATTCATGTGGATCTGATCAATCAGTCATTAGGTCAATCAGGCTAGGATCACACTCATAATCTAATGAACTATGACAATGAACGGCCCATTCAAGCCTCATTCAATCGAGAGGAGAGAGCGATAAGATTATGATCGATGAATCATTCTTTGGAAAGGACTAGCCATCACTTATATTTATGTAACCATTGGGAGTGTATAATAGAAATCTGATACCTTGACTTGGGGAGATCGCCAAGAGGGAGTCTAAGTCCGAGCTCATCAACATATCCAATTAAATCCACATTCACTCAAAAGCTTGAGCTAATGATTAATGAGTTAATTAGGATATATTAACTATTTCAAACACACCAATTCTTCGACGTGAGACTTTCTAAAACAACTCACATGTGCAACTTAACAATATTCTCCTCACATAAGAGCTCAGTGTTAGGTCTACTCCCCCTTAATTTCGATTTTCTTATGCATTAACATATCTTAACTTGAATCTCCAATGCCCACATTCACTCATAACTCATTGGTTTAAGTTTTTGAATAAAAGTGGGTTCAACTGAATATGTTGATGGGTTCAGACTTGGACTCTTATTGAAGCTGTTGAGCTTCTGCTATTCGCTCGCAAAGATAACATTTCTCGATTATGATTTGTAAGAACGTATGAATTCGTTCTGTGTGTGGGGACTTTGACTGTCCAAGCTTTTTCTGAAAGAATTATTCAAGATATGGAGAGATCAATTAATGAATGCAGAGTCTGGATAAGTAAGCAAACATTTCATCTATATAAATGTCATTTTTGCTTTCTTCAAATTTTCTAAGAACTAAAGATCCAAACTATAAGCCCACTCAACTTTTAGTTACTTCGACAGAAACAATAGTAGTTGAAAATTGAGGTTTTGTCCCTGAACCTCTTGATTTTTTAGGAGTCATTAATTAGTGCACATGCTGAACTCGGTTTAATTCTCATTTTTGCAAAATTTTATGAATGTGTCGAATGTGCTAAATTATTTATTTATCTTAAGTTTGTGGCCTTTCTAGTACACCAATATCTACTATGATAAATATGTCAAATTGTGTCAGTTTGTTTGCAATGCATGTATGGTTATGCAACAATGTTGCAATTTAGCTCAATTTGCGTGTGAGAGTTGTGAAACACAGACCAAAAACTGTATTTTAAAAAATCAGACTCCAGATTTATCATATTTCATAATTGAGAAAATAATTACTCTTGCGTTATGAGTAATTCTGTCTTTCCTTATTGCCCCCACTGGTGAATGGACTTAGTTCAGCCACTTATTAATAGCTGCTTTTGCAAATCCTATATCTGTCCAGTAATAGAATGCTCGCTCTTGGCTGACTTGGGGAGTATTTTATTGGAAAGAAGCAGCAGCCTTTTACTTTTTGGAAAAACACAATGTTGGCCAAATCCCTGGTACAGCTTGCCCTTTTTCCATTGATAAGGGAAAAAAGTTCCATTCCAATGGGTGCCCTGTCTACGGTGTTATTTACCAAAAATTGGGTTCAGTAAGTCTAGTATGCTATCTACATCAAGACTCTGATATTGATGAAACCAAAAGTTAAGAGTAAATAACCCCAACAACTTAACAGAACCCAAGTAAACCCTAGGATGAATGACAAATGTTCCATCTTTGATTGAATCCAAAAGGGTTTTTCCTTTGACAAATAAATAGGACTTGTTGGAGAGTTAGGATATTTATTTTTTGAATATCTGATTTGTAACTCCTAAGATGTATGGTTAGATCATTTATACACGCGATAAGTTGAACTAACGGGGTATTGAACTTTTGAAATCACTGTCAAAATATCTTTAAAATTAGTACTCCATTATCTGTTCGTGAATTCTACAGATAAATTGTCCATAGTTCATCTGATATCTCAGTCAGGTTCAGGCATTGCTGGTTTTTGTTACATTTCCTTAATGATGAACTTGATGAAAAGTTCTGTAGTTCTTTTGGAATTTAAAGTTAACTTGACAATTCAAAGTGTCTGATGCCTGTATCTTACTGAATACCTTGACTATGGTCCTAGAGCTATCTCTACCCTTTTTCTACTCCCTTCAGTAAATTTCAATACTCGAATGAAAATGGTTGATGCGCATTGAAGAACTTGCTTCACTTTCATTTTTGTTTTTAGCATATACAAACAGTTACATGTATATAGATCCGAAACGGGTGACAGAAAGGTCAAGTTTACTTATGTACCATCATCTCCAAAAGAGCTCTATTTGCTTCACTTATTGGAAAACTGTCTCTCATGCAGATTAAATTCTCAAGTCCCAGGCAATTCCAGAAATTACTTGGTTGCTGCATCTAGTTTACCATTTTTGGGACACATGAATGCATCTAGTTTACCAGTCTTCAGCTATTTTTTTTTTTCATTTCAGTGAAATTATTTCGAAATTCTTGCAGCTGCTTGCAGGACCTCTCCTCTCTGCAATACACATATATAGTGTCACTGAAGAGATGCGAGCTACCCCAGTGAACACATTAAATCCACAGAGAACTGCTTTGATTGTCGCCAACTTTCTCAAGGTTTGATCCTAAACTATGGGTTCTGGACTGGCTGATTTATTAGATTCTTCTGAATTTGGGTACTTTCAACATCGCTCTATGCCCAAAGTTACAGAATATCTTTCTCTTGAATTGATACAGACGGGAAAAGTATTGAGCCCAGCTGACATACGGTATCGGGAAGATCTCCTCTTTCCTGGGCGACTCATAGAAGAAGCTGGGAACGTGAAAGTTGGAAGAGCTTTACATGATGTTTTTAGGCCTTCGAAGATTAATGAATGGAAGGAAAAACTTCCAGAGGAGAAGTTTCTTTTAAGTCGTGGCAGTAAATGGATCGACATGGTCCTTGAGCACAATGCGACAGGTGAAGATGCATTGAGGGGTTGGTTGGTAGCTGCGTATGTCAGATGTATGGAGAAGTCTAATCATGAGATGAACGCGCGAGTCTTGCAAGACGCTTACATGAAGATGAGTGATACCTTTTCCCCGTTTGTAGCTGAAGTACAAGCCAAAGGATGGCATGCCGATCAATTTCTTGACGAACGGGAAGTCGATTTTCATGGTAGCATTATTGTTGTCTTGATGATATACGTATTCTTTAGGATAACCTCACCATCTTTACTGTTACAGAAGTTGATGAAAAGGATGATTCGAAGTTTAGAGCTGCTTTGCTCGCATGTACTATTGACCAATTTAGTCGAGAGGAGTAAAATAAGAAATGGTTGTGCACTCAATTCTGTGTTCATCGGATTAAGAAGACCGAAAGATCAGGGCAAATTTGTCTGGACTCAATGAAGGAGAGAGAAATAGGTGAAAACAAAGAGTCCGAGTCCAAATTATGTAGCTCTTATGGGCATTTTAGATATACATCAGTGACAAATTGGCCAAAGGAGAAAGGCAGAAAAGAGTACAAAGAATTCAGATTATAGTTCCGGTTTGAGCTGTCCGTTTTGCACATCCTAACTTCAGTCACTATTGGATGCTATGAAGCTCTATATTTTTGCATAATGTAATTGCAGGAGGCTGAAAAGATAATCACCCGCTTATTGCAGACTAAGGGTGCGCATGGCAACGATTCTGTGCCCGGAAACTGATTCTGCTAAGAAATAATTCTTTTTTATTCTGTGCCCGGGAACTGATTATGAGCATTTGAAGGCATTTGGTAACGGCCCAAAATTTTCATTCCTGAAATAGTAAAAAAATAGAAATGCGTTTGGTAATGGCATAAAATTTCTTTTTATTAATAATATTATAAAAATTTTAATATTTCTTTCTTTTTTTCTTCTCCTCCTTCTTGGCCATGGCCGGTAAAATATTTTTATTATTAATAATACTTTTATTATAATTTTTTTTTATTTTTTTGGCCATGGCCAGTAAAATATTTTTTTATTAATAATTTTTTTATTAAAATATTTTACTAAAAAATATTTTTATTGAAAATATTTTTTTCTTTTTTTTTAGCCATGGCCTCTGGCCATGGATGGTAAAATATTTTTTATTAATAATATTTTTTTTCGCCATGGCCTGGTCTCTGGCCATGGCTGGTAAAATATTTTTTTATAAATAAATTTTTTTGTTAATAATATTTTTATTAAAATATTTTTATCGAAAATAATTTTCTTATTTTTTTTCGCCATGGCCGGTATAAATTTTTTTATTAATAATATTTTTTTAATTTTTTTTTCGCCGTGGCATGGTCGCTGGCCATTATCTGTAAATTTTTTTTTCTTAATAATATTTTTTATTAAAATATTTTAATCTCGCTAGATACGGCGAGGGTGGCCCTCGCATCGGACATTAGAAGCTACATTAAAAACCAAGAAAAAGAAGAAAAAAAAAACTGATTCTCATTTTTGTTCCCAGAATCAAGAAGCTACTTTTTTTTTATTCTTGATTCTGCTCCAAAACTGATTCTGGGCACAAATTTGCAAGAATTTGTGCCCAGAATAAAAAAATTAAACAAACAGATTTCTGTTCCCAAACTGATTCTGGGAACAAAAGAACAGAATCAAACACTATTTGGCAAGTTGCCATGCGCAGCCTAAGCTTTTAAGTGTTCACATAAGCAACACAAAAGACCGGAGGCAAGCCATTCATTGTACAGTATAACGTATGTAGACCATTTATGTTTAGGATATTAGAGAAAAAAGCAAATGCTTAACTACACCACAACATTGAAGAAAAGAGGGCTAGCTAAAAAATACATACATAAGCAAATATACCGAGGAAATGTGTGGTACATTGATCGATCCCGACATGGCAAAGATATCAACAGATCAACACGAGACCATTGCTTGCAAGAAGCAGCCCTCTTTGCCTCGTGGTCGATTATTGTAGCTGCTCTCAAAATTCGTCCTCACTGTACTCTCAATACATGTATTTCCTGAAAAAAGAAAAAAAGTGTGTTGTGATAATGGATTTTGTGATAATATTCGGTATGATTTTGAGTAACAGTTTCTCACAGTTATGCTGTTATATCATTGTACCCTTAGTAGGGTTATGCAAGTATACCTGTCCGATTATTGGGCCAGTTCTGATCTTATGCTAAAGATTATATATCTGCCTACTATGTTAAGTTACTCGTTGAATAAGATAATTCTGTATGCATAAAAACTGCATCTCCGATCACTAGTAGAGGTAGAGGATCACTTACTGGCTAGTTTGCTCATTCCTGTATAATATAATGTTTTTCCAGATTTAGCTGAAATTGTTGAGGATAGATAGTGACTATGTTGGAAAGTTCTGAATACTTGTTTTAAGTTTATTTGAGGAGAAGACCAGTTGGTTTTTATATTAAGGTATCAAACCTATGGACACAATTCCGTTGCATACAAGTTATCATGGATATGTGGAATAATATATAGAGTTAATATCACGAAAAATCCTAATTTTATACACATGTGACAAATTTATCCAAAATTATTTTTTTGACAACCAAAAACCCCAAACTTATACATTTGTGACAAATTCTAAATTAATACCACGAAAACCCACAAACCGGTACACATATGACAAACGGAGTGTAAAACCTCAAACTAGTACACCCGATAACTGCCACTTGTTATCCAGCTCAAAAATTTAACGATAAAATTTAACAGAAACTAACATAGGATAAAATTGTCATAGGTGTACCGGTTTAGAGATTTTGATAGTCAAAAAATTTGTTTGGAGTAAATTTACCAGTTTGGAGTTTTTCGTGGTATTAACCCTAATTTATACAAGCGTTTTAATTTAGTGATATAATTGAGGTAGATGATTGAGTTGCTTAGCATGTGTTTGGGACTATAAAAATGCACAAGCGGCACCGCCGCGCATCCGAGATGGGTTAGGGGTGTGACGAGTCTTTACAGGAAAGTAAGATTCACTTCGATTCATGAGGATTAGAAAATGGCATCGGGCATGTCGAGAAACAGGTGAAGGACGTGAGCAAAGAAAGTTTTAATCGAACAGAAAGAATAAGAGAAAAGAGCGATTAAGAAGAGATATCATAAAGAAGAATCTTTCCATGGTTTCGATCTGAAAAAAAAAGTACAGATTTGGCGAAGTGGGCTTGAAGCTCTTGTGTAAGTAAATGAATGCGTTCGAGCATGAAAAGTCAAATTAATTTTGTTGGGAAACTCGTCATGCAATGGTTCCATGGTCTAGTGGTCAGGACATTGGACTCTGAATCCAGTAACCCGAGTTCAAGTCTCGGTGGAACCTTTTTTCAAGCTCTTCGCACCCATTATTTTTTCTCCAGGATTAAAGCTAGAATAAAAACAAAATAATTATTTTTTTTTGTTAGGGGGATATCTGGAGCTCTTTGTAACAAAGAAACCATGTTGATATTCTTTTTTGTGGTTAATTTTTTTCTCCTCTTAAAAGTAAAGTACAACAGTATGGGGTACCTATACTTGATTATGATGTTGTCGATAGCTTGGAAGTCGACACACATTTTAAAGGATCCATCCTTTTTTTGTTCGAGTAGGTTTGGAATCGAACAAGGACTCATGCTTTCCCTCTGTATCCTCTTACAATTAGCTCATCGGCTTGTCGTTGCAACTCTTTAGTTTCCTCCTCTTGCATCAATAAGTAGCTTTGTTGGATAAAGAAGCACCACGAAGCAAATCGATCCAATGCTCTATTCCTATATTGGGAGGTAATCCAGGTGGCAACTCCATCCAAAAAACATCTTCAAACTCATTCACCAGCGGTTGCAATTTTGGGTGTGGGAATCTCTCTATCTCATTTTTTCGATTTTCTACCATAAGTAAAGCAAAAACATTCTTTTGTTTGCGAATGACTCTCTCCACCCTTTTTTTATGCAAGGAAAAATTTTCCTTACTAGTATTTCCCTCCCCGGATTGATTTTTGTGGTTCAAGAATGGGCTTAAAGATGTAAAGGTGATGAGTTTATGTTCTTTTTGGAATAAGTAAGTATTTTTCAATCCATTATGGATGGCTTTTCGTCAAATTGCCAGGGATTCCCAATAACAAGTGGCATGCTTCCATGAGCATGACATCACACAAAACCTAATCTCGATAATTTCTCCCAATTGAAAACGAAATCAAGGCTTGTTTAGTTACCTAGATATCATTCCCTTTCTTCAGCCATCGGAACTTGTACGGTTTGGGATGCTTGGAAGTGGACAGCTTCAACTTGTCGGCAACTCCACAACACTTGTCGACACTTTGTTGGAGCAGCTTCCACCATCAATGATCAAATTACATATCTTTCCACAATTGATTCATCCAGTTAGCAATCCTTTGCTACTTTTGTTTTCATTGTTGCATTCTTTACGTTTTCCTTTGTTGGATTTTATTGGTCTAGGAGGTCGGATGGTTGCTGAATCTGTTACGTCTACTGCGGTACCCTTGCACGTCCTAGAACCCAAACCAGGAAAAACTAGTTTAGGATATATTGCATGTGAGACCCATTTGATCTACGGTTTTGCGTTTTGTGATAGTTGTTCCCATGTGTTTTTAACTTGTCCGAATTTATAAATGATGAGAGAACTATCGAAAGTTGCACAAGTCCAAAAAATGAACAATTTCACCATGGCGTGTTATCAAAAGATCGGGTAGGTATTTAAGTACATTGAACCATTTACAATAATGATGCACATGTCACAAGCGGTGTACTGAACTTGATAGACAGCCTAGCATAGCAAATTAAAAACTAGTTCTAGGATTTTTCAGCCTAATGCCTTCTAGAGTGAGAATCAAAGCAACTTTCTAGCATCATTGAGGACGGCCATAGGCCAATGTTACATCAGAAGCCAAATCTCAATGAAAGTCAATTTGCAATGATCTGTTGTTTTTGTGTATGTAAAGTTTAATCACTAGGGGAACATGCCATTATTCTTCCCCTTCATATAGTGTGCAGGAATGCATAAGGGATTTGATACCTGATGAACCAATGTTGTTCATAAAGCGATTAGCATGGTAAAAACAATCACTTGGATGAGAGAGAAATTCAGCTCGTCTAACATTGATATTGAATATGGTTTTTGCCTGATTCTAAGGATTTCCAATTTGCTTCCCGGGAGTTAGGTGGATTCCCCTTTAGAGCCCTCATCTTGTTAAGCTGAAGTTCTTGTGCTAGAAACCTGGACAAATGGCTGGATACACCATTGACATGGCCGCCTTTAAACACATTCTGCTACACAGTCAACCTAAGGACAGTCTTATGGTAAAAAAAAAAAAAAAAGAGATCTAAAGACGGTTTGTTGCTTAGGGAAAATTTTCATTCATAGTAGATGGAACTCAAATACGATTGGAGGAATTGCACACATAGCTCTCTTCTGATCGGTCTTTGCTTCACATTCAACAATTACAAGTAAGATATTTCTCCATAGTCTGACGTTTTTTCCAGGTCTCTCCCTAATATGGCATGCACCTTTCGATAGCTTTTATTGGAAGCATAACCTGTTTATCTCACTGACTGCTGTGATTTTTCCCCAGTTTCTATGCAGGCAATGCTGTTGATGGTGACAGACAGCAGCGTTGTTTCTTTGGCTATCGGGGTTTCTGCTTCTCACCAGATAAAGTTGAAATCGTTCTTCCCTGTTTTCTTTTCCCGTGTATTGAGCGCTGATTCTTGAGATGAAGCACATTATTCTGGTCTGTTTCCTTCATAGGTTAACCAGCCCACTGAACTTGGTTGTGGACCAGGCTTTAATGAAGGCATTACCTTTGGGCCAGCGGAAATAACAATATCAAAATTTTCTAGTGCGACAAACGGGGCGGATCCATTGGTTATGCCACTAAGGAAGCGGGAGAACTGCCATCTCCGCTTGTAACACTTTAAAACTTTGATATTGTCAATTCGATGCCTTCACGGAAGCCAGAGAACTTCCATTTTGTTCATCAAAACCTGGAACAATTCCGCAATGGCGTGAGCTGTCAGAGGAGGGGGATCCTGACAAGCAGCATCCCGTTGTTCATTCTCATCGACCCCATTCCCTCTCCCGTCTTCTCCTATCAACTGCAGATTGACAGGAGGAGGTTCTTGTCCCTAAGGAGCCTCATTCGACAGGAGCGGTGGCCTCCCAAAGATCCCACGAGACAACATTTGGCCAACAGTATTTGCACTTCTCCTTGTTTGAGCCATTGCTTTCTGTAGTTCTCACAAACAACACCAAATTGTGCTGAAATTTTTTTCCGGTGACAGGAGTAGCTGCCAGGGATTGGCAATGGGGTTTTGAACCTTGTGAATACGTGCTTCTTACTCCCTGCTTCCCGCTCTAGTCCTGCAGAACACATACACGAAAGTACTTGAGACTTGAGAGTGGTGTTTATGGGCACCGTTCCACGCTCAAGTCAGATTAATGATGGTTCAAAGGGAAATTGATAAGAGTTTTGGCTCTTTTCTTACAATCCTTCACTTGGTGAGAATGAATGAGTGTTTCCCGTACCTGTTCCATCGAGTGTTGCTCAAGTTACGTCGTTCCACATTTCTGGCACTCGGGCTTTGTTGCCTTGACCATGCGGAACTAGGTAGTTTGGACGTGCTCCGACTTTCGCAGGGTCATCTTTGATGGGCGTATGATGGGTTTGTTTCTCGACTTCGAGCCGCGCAAGTGAAGATAATAATCGCGACATCTCTTTCGTTGGATGCACTATCAAGTGGTTCTGGACTTCGGCCCCCATGACTAGGAATAAGAAAGGAGTTTAAAGACAATTGGCAAGCCAAGTCGTTTGTTCTTGTTGTGCCAAGAAAGGACGCCAATTCTAAGCATTGGTGATGTCGAAAAGCTGACAAGTAAGCCACTCAAACAGAGGCCAAACATGGCTAATGCATTTCTGTAGTATGTTCTAATTTATAGCATGCTCCTTTTGTTGTGAACGTGAATTATGTAAAAGTTATCGAAAAGAGAGAAGGTAAATCACCCATTGTTCGTCAATCTAATATGTTGCCCGTGGTAGGCATGCTCACAGTTCGCCAATCTAATATATGTTGTAAGTAGTGGCATCTACACGAGAACGATGAGTTAAATAAATGGATAAAGGCACCGGTTGTCCTTAAACTCTTTCAATTTAGTTCAATATGATTCCCAATTCTTGTTTTTGTTTAACTGAGTCCTTGAATTATACATTTCTTCTGTTCAAGTTAGTCCTTCCATCACATACATTGACCCAATTTTTGGCGCGAAAGATCACGTCGGCGCCCCATCAATACATGGATATCTATGTCATGCCATGTTATTGCGCTATTCCAACTCTTTGCTGACGTGGAATATAGAAATAAAACAAAAAAAAATGGAAAAGAAAAGAAACAGAAGTGTAAGAGAGAGAATGCCCGCTGCAAAAGTTGGGTTAATTGCTACGCCTTAATCATCCTTCGCCAGAACGTGGCAATGCGATCACGAAGGTGGTGACCGGCATTCACATCAGGTTCGCCTAAGCTTGGCGAAAGACGATGGCCCTTAGTCGGTAGCGGTGGCGCCGCCACCGGCAGTAGCTTTCGTTTCACTTCTTGTCCATTTTGTCTTTCATCGTGACTCCGTTTGTTTTGTGAAAAATAAATTATTTGAAAAAACATTTTTCCTAAAAACGATTGTTTGTATTAATTAAACAATAGTCAATGAGAAATTTTTCGTTATTGATAATAATTTATGTCTTAATACTTTCTTGGACAATAAAATTATTTTTCGTTTGTTTATTTTTGTATGTGATACAAAATAAATATTTTAAGAAAATATTTTTCTAAATTATTTATTTTTCGCAAAACAAACGTAGCCTTCATTTTTTTTTTCATTTGTTTTCTCCTTTTGGGAATATTAAAGTGTTTTCTTTTGATTCTTAGTTTTCAATTGTCAGGTATCATGACACGCGGATGCCACTATGGCCAATTCCGAATCGCTGGCCAAATTAGCATTTTTATTGTTCTTTTTTGGGTTAATATTATAAACAATCTCAAACTGATACATCTGCGACAAATTTATCCAAAATTAATATTTTGACCGTAAAAAACCTCAAACTGATATACCTGTAACAAATTTACTCTAAACTAATTTTTTTACTACAAAAAAAATCACAACCGGTATACTTGTGATAAATTTATCCTTATTTAATTTCCATTAAATTTGATTAATACCACAAAAAATTACAGGGTATACCTAAACATCTAAAGTAGGATAAATATTACAGTTACATGCTTGTGTTTAGTTACATAGCCTAAACATCTAAAGTTGAAATAAAATAAAAATTAGCAAATTAAGATTAAATTTAAAGCAATTTTCTTGTAAATTAACCGGATAATCTCATATATCAAATTAGTTTTTCTGACATATAAAAATACTCATCATAGATTTGGATAAAAATGCTCATCATTGATTCGGCTAAAAAGAGATGAAAATCGTCATATATAATTGAAGAAGGACGTCGCCGAAATAAATAAAGGAAATACTCGTAAAAAGAATACGGTAAATGCTCATCTAACGACATACTGCTTTTGCCATCATCGCGACGATATGTCAAGGACCACATTGAAAATCGCGAAAAGTGAGACCAACACGATATTTCGACTCTTAATAATAGAAACATATATCCCGTTAAAAACCAACCGTTTACAAGTTGATGTTCTCAGAAACCATGGCGACGGCTTCTGGTGCGTACCCAAACCCCCTAATTCCATACGTCCCACCGACCTACCTTCAATTTCAGGCCGATTTTGTAAGGCTGGTGAATGTTGCCCGCGAATCAAATCCTGACGTGGGTATTTTGATAAGCCATTTGTGCTGCTAATAATCTGCTAGGTTGCTGTCTCTTCGTCTATTTACCGTTCTCGTGTGATGTTGGTGACTACTGTGAATGTTGCTTGAAGCACTAGCTAGTTCCTATTGAATTGTCTTTGCCAGTCTCTGTTGGAGTTCCAATTGATCATGTATCAAGTCTAAAGTCAGCTTTTGAGTGGTGCTGATGTTTACGGCGGGAATGAAATTGTATTGCGGAAGAAATTTGCTTGAATGGATATACAAAGTTCCGACTTTTTCAGAACTCAGTAACCACCGCCGACAGGACAGAAGTAAATATTTTGCTATGGCCGAGTATTTTGCGGCCAAATGAGCAGAAGAGAGACTTTTTCAGAACTCACTTCGTCTCGGGGTTTGCCCTTGCCCCGTCTCGGGCGTTTCGATTTCGCTTCGCTCTTCCGCGGTCGCGATTACCGTCTCGTTCTCGGAGCTTCTCCGACATCATTCCGTGCTCGCTGAATCCTGCAGCGGCTTTGCCCGCGATTGGAGCAGGAAATAGTGTTTTGCGTTCCCGTTTAAAAATTGCCCTACAGGCCTTTGATGAGATGTTGTGTTTTCTTACACGAAATCTTGGTACGACAGAGGCGCGAAGATTTTTCAGGCGGACAAGTACCGGAAAGGTGCATGCCAGAAGAAAGGAAGACTCTCTCTCTCTCTCTCTCTCTCTCTCTCTCTCTCTCTCTCTCTCTCTCTATATATATATATATATATATATATATATATATATGTGGCATGCGCGCCCTATCCAGTGTAGGGTGTTCTTTTTGTTCAAGTCCAACATATTTCCTAGGATTCACAACTCATGAAATGTTTATTCAACTTAAATATGAGAATGTTTGAGGTGGTTAATGGGCTGACTTTTCCGGTTTCCTTATTCGCACTTTGTCTCCGCTTTGGACCTACCAAAAAGCAAACTTGCCGTATTTTCCCTGCGTTTTTAAAGCTTATCAAAGTGCGAATATGAGTTTTTCTGATTCCAAAATTTGAATTCTCAATTTCCTTCTGTTGTTGGTTTTCACTAGGGGAGAGAATCATAAGGTATTTTGGTACCTCCATGGTGTTTACTTGTACCTCATTATGGCCTTTACCTCTTTTATATTGTCAACTGTGATTTGCTTGTCTTGTACCAATATTAGCTGAAAAATGGTGGCTAAATGCAATTCTGCGTTGGCTCCTGCAGCTGTGGTGCCATGACTCATGATTCGAAGTCATGTATGGAAAGACCTCGGGAAGTGGGAGCCAAATGGACAAACACACACATTGCACCTGATGAAAAGATAGAGACCTTTGAGCTTGACTATGATGGTAAGAGAGACCGGTGGAATGGCTATGACGCGTCAAGCTATGCTCTTGTGATTGAGAGATATGAGGCTAGGGATAATGCTCGAAGAAAATATCTCAAGGAACAACAGCTGAAGAAATTAGAGGAGAAAAACAATAACCAAAATGGTGAGGATGGTGATAGTGATGAGGAAGATGAGGAAGATGACTTAAGGGTGGATGAGGCAAAGGTTGATGAAAGCAAGCAGATGGACTTTGCAAAGGTTGAGAAGCGTGTTCGCACAACAGGTGGTGGAAGTACTGGATCTGTTAGGTAGGTGGATCCTTTTGCTTTGACATTAGCAGTCTTTCTTTCTTTCAATGTTTTAGGAACATTAATAAGAAAATTAAACCACTTAAATTTTTAGTATTTGTATGATTATTTGAAGATTTACAAAGTCTCATGAATGAGTTTTCTTCCCCCCCCTGTTCTTCATATTCTGGATATTACTGGAACTGTTAGGTAGGTGGATCCTTTTGCTTTGACATTAGCTGTCTTTCTTTCTTTCAATGTTTTAGGAACATTTATAAGAAAATTAAACTACTTAAATTGTTAGTATTGATATGATTATTTGAAGATTTACAAATTCTCATGAGTGATTTTCTCCCTCCCTCTTCTTCATGTTCTGGATAGTACTAAGTTGATTTATTTGTTTAGGAACCTTCGTATTCGGGAGGATACGGCGAAGTATCTTTTGAATCTTGATGTTAATTCAGCACACTATGATCCCAAAACTCGGTCCATGTGTGAGGATCCCCTTCCAGATGCCGATCCAAATGAGAAGTTCTATGAGGTAAGTTCTTTGAATTTTTTTGGCAGTAACTCTAGCTCATCTACTTACTTTTTGAGGCATAGATATATTACTAAAATCAATTGATTCTTACTTTCAGGGTGATAACCAATATAGAAATAGTGGTCAAGCTCTTGAATTTAAGCAGCTTAACACACATGCTTGGGAAGCATTTGATAAAGGGCAAGACATCCACATGCAAGCAGCGCCATCTCAAGCTGAGTTGCTTTACAAGAACTATAAAGTTATTAAGGAAAAATTGAAGTTTCAAACAAAGGATACCATCCTGGAAAGGTATGGCAATGCAGCCTCAGAGGAAGAGCTCCCAAGAGAGCTGCTCCTGGGACAGAGCGAGAGAGAAGTGGAATATGATCGTGCTGGCAGGATCATTAAGGGGCAGGTGGGGTATCTACTTAAGGTTTTCTTCAATTCAATCACGAAATAAACTTGCTAAAACTCTCCACCTGAATTTGCTATATCCATCCTCATTCTCCTTGCTAATACTATTGGGGTTGCTTTTCCTGAATCATAAGGATATTTCCAATTCATGCGACGGTATTGAGATACTTAACCAGCTCTTGTGCTATTTCAGGAGTCAGCATTGCCCAGAAGCAAGTATGAGGAGGATGTTTTTATTAATAACCACCCTTGTGTTTGGGGTTCATGGTGGAAGGATCATCAATGGGGCTACAAGTGCTGCAAACAGACTATCAGAAATAGCTACTGTACGGGTGCTGCCGGAATTGAAGCTGCCGAGGCAGTAAATGAACTAATGAAATCAAATATTGCTCGAAAAGGAGCCACAGAAGGTCAGTCCACTTTTTCACCCTAATTTTTCTGCCTTTAGAGGATCATTTGCTGGAAAAACTATTTGTCCTCAGTTTCACCTCTCTCGTTCAGCTTCTTCGATTGTTTTGATCAAAAAGTTATCGGATGCTTCTTGATTGCTTGATTTTGTTGATTATCATGGTTGTAATATCGTTTTCCAAAGTGGAATTTTGATACTATGACCGCTTGACTGGTTTTTGCTCTGGCATTTGTGGAAACAGAGGTGGCTGCCCCAGCGGAGGAGAAGAGGCTGGCTACCTGGGGAACTGATGTCCCTGATGATTTGGAGTTGGACCAGAAACTTCTTGCTGAAGCACTTAAGAAGGTAACTGGACCATTTTCAGTTCTCTGTTCGTGCTTTATTTTCTCCTTTCCAACCTATATCCTCTTAAACAGGATAATTGAGGAAAGAAGTGGGAATTTCATATAGATCAACAAGTACAATGTTACCATTGAAAATCGATGATGAAATTGAGGGTAGCTAGACATTGTTGCTCAGAATAAATTTAGTTTTTAGTTTAGTAGTGTATACTGCACTGCAGAGGGGAGGGGAGGGGAGTGGAGGCTCGGTGTATAGTAAGGGAAAGGTGACAGAATGTTATGCCTGTGATTTGTGGTAACCGCCTCTTTTTTTAGAAACAATGGGAAAGCAACGGTTGAGTCATAGACAGTCCATGTTTAATTCGGCTAATTCTTGTTTGATTCACTTTGCACGGGAGGATATAAGAAAGCGAGAAGAGAAAGATGAAAGGAAGCGCAAATACAATGTCAGATGGGAGGATGAGGTATCCCTCTCTCTCAATTTTGGAGTACCACAGAAGAACTGGTATTCCACTCCTTTAATTTTTTTGTGGCTTCTGTGTTGCCATTAACACTTATTACTTGCAGGTTACTGCTGAGGATATGGAGGCTTATCGGATGAAGAAGATACACCATGATGATCCAATGAAAGCATTTCTGAGCTAGGTAGATAAATAGCATGTAATAGTCAGCTGGTCTACTTGGAACACACATACACTATGGATGTTATGTGATCGTTCGTGTTACATCAAAATAACCATATGCTAGTGTTCCCCTAGTATTCTGTATTGAATCCAGCCTCGCGGCATGTGTTGGCAATTCTGTTTTGTGGCAATTGTTTCTGCTATAGGATGAATACAAAGCTGAATATTGGGGAATTCTTATGCTTTTTGGTTGTTTAGTTTATTTATTGACATAATGAAGGTGATGTATTTAATGAAGTCATGTTTAGTTGCACTTCTTTGATGTGTTAGGATTAGGGGTGATCGGTTCCCGGTCCAGTTCGATTCCAAGGTGGAAGCGAGAAACGGACCGGTTGGTTCTAGGACCCATTTTGGTCCGGTTCAATGGAACCGGTCACTTAGGGTTGAGTTCACATTTTATTAATTTTTGTCAATTAATTTATGGCATTGAAGTTCACTCAGGGTTTAGTTCACATTTTACTACTTTTTGTCAATGCAGTTCACTTAAAGTTTAGTTCACATTTTACAAATTTTTTAGAGAAATAAAAAAATTTATTTGTAGTCAATCTGGTCGATCCAGTTCGGTCCTATTTCCCCTGGAACCGAGAATAACTGTCCACTTTTAAGAACCGGAAATCAGACCGATACTTCTGGAACCAAACCAAACTGATCAGTTCGGTCCGGTTATGGTGATTTTGGGTTTGGGCGGTCCATTTTGCACACTCCTAGTTAGGTTGGTGCCTCATTTCACCTCCTTTGATTTATCTATGCGGCTTTGGGTGACATTTTGCTGAACTTGATGAGGGATATCTCCGGTTGATAGCATTAAGAGAGACCGAATTTGCATGCACGCTTACTACTCTCTCGGCCGCCATATGGACTTGCATCATAGGATTGTCTCCCCTTTATTTTTTTGTCAGAAGATTGTCTCCACTTTAAACAATGAGAATGAATATTCCCTTCGTCGGTCGTTTGCATAGCCTGTTGTTCAGAAGTCCCACATGACTCCAAACAGGAGTGGTCATGTTTGGAGTACAAGGAAAGAGGCGATGCCTTTTTTAAGTCCATGCTCCAGTTCATTTGTAGATTGTCTTCACATAATTGAGCCTGATGGATCTGTGAAACGAACAACTTGTGTACTCCGAGAACACGATACATACTAGTCCAATTCAAATGAAAGTGTTCGTCCTGGCTTTCTCACTTTCCTCAAAACCGTTGTTTAGATTGGAAGTTTCCAAAGAGTCGGTGGATATTGTTCCTGGACGTCACTCGAATTTAGTAACGGATGCCTGCTATTTTCACGAGTTGATTCGTTGCGAAATTCAGGCCATGCTTGATTGGTATGGTGTTACTGGAAATCTAGGCTCTATTATGCAAAAAGTATATACACAGCAGAAGGCTGAGTTTGACGACAGTAATCACAAATCCAAAGGGAGGGAAAAAAAATAGAAGAAAAAAAGGAAAAAATATATATGAAGTTACCCATCATGGTACTCGATTAAAGTCTGGGATGTGTGGTTAAAAAGACTGTGATTTAAGAGGCCATGGCGGTGGTCTGTTCTTATAGGAATAGTATCGAAGCGAAGACACCCGTACAAAAAAATATATATATATATATGAAGTTATCTACTACAAACTCCGCGCCACCATCTCCTGACGCTCCATTTCGGCTCGGAACTTGGAGACGAACTCCTCGGCTCTCTCATCGATCCTGTGAGTCAGCGGCGATTGCCAGCCCTACCGACTCCCACACGTCGTCCGCTTCGCATGTCTTTGCATTGCTTCCATCGTGATCCTCGTCGTTCTTTCCTGCCTCAGGAGCAGAACGATCAATAGTAGCGATGCTCTTGGGACTCGGCATATACTTCACAGAAAGAGTGTCCAGGCAATGATGCTCTGAGATCCCATCCAGAGGCTCCTTGACGAGCTTAATCGACAAAAACATGCGCCTGCTGCCTCTTGAACACGCGGCGCCGGACGTTGAAAATGCTCGATGCCTGGACGCACCGAGGCCTCTGCCTATTCTGTCGACGGGGCTGCTTCACAACAAAGACGGGCTCGTCAGCTTCCGAAGAAGCGGCGGCGAGAAGTTCAGCTTTGGGCAATTTGTAGACAGGTCTCGGCCTGTGGAGCTTGGAGGTGAGGATCTTCCAAGCCTTCTTGGGAGGCGGGAGCCCCAGGGCTCAGGCAAGACATGAGGAGCACTGGAGGGAGCTAACGAAAGCGTGTGTGCTATGTTTCTGGGGCTGGGAGTAGCATAGAAATAAGCTCTTTATAATGAGAAGTTGGGTGTAAGATTCTTCTTCTGTGTGTTTTCATGGGAGAGGTGACTGAAGATTTCGTGGGATGGCTTAGGTTTTACGCCTGGGTTGATTCTGTGGATCAGCTTGGTTCTTACGCTAAGATTTCTGAGCCACTTCGGTCATGGCTTCTTCGTATCCCGAATGTGAAATGCTATTGGTGTTTTTAGATTGAAAGATTCTTCGAATTTGTAATTCTGTATTCGGTCACATCTTTTGGGTTACTTGTTAGACACCTAATTTTTAGCTCATTTTTGTCATATTTTCAAAAATTTCAAAATTAGATTTAGGGATCTTGGCCAGGCCTGAAAACCTATTTCTAAACCAAAAAAATAATTTTTTAGCATTTTTTCTTAATTTCTTTTAGTCAAAATAAGCAAGAAAATCAAGAAACATAGTAAATGGAATCCGAAAATTCCATAAAAATATTCATTAGTCTTCTTTTAAATCCAATTTCATAAATACATTGTCAATTTTAGAAAATCTCAATCGGGTATATGCTTTTCCCAAAATTGAGCAAAATTAAACCCGAATTAAACCAAAAAATGAAATTAAAGTTTTTCTAGTCATTTTGAAGTCATAGTGTCTTTACAATAATTGATTCTGGGACCTTAGTCAAGGAAAAAATTTTCCATCAATAAAGAAAACACCTTCAAAAGTGAAGAATTCCATTCTCTTTCCTCTCTACACTCCTTCACATTCCTTTTCTTTTTTCATTATTTCTATTTTCTTTTTCTTTCTTTTTCTTTTATTTTTATTTTTTATTTTATTTTTCCTTTTCTTTTCTTTCGGGCAAGCTCGTCCCTCACCTATGGCCGGTCGCCGGCGATCAGCAGAGAAAAATAGAAAATAAAATAAAAAGAAATAATTACAAATACCGACAATACACCAGTTGCGGCAGAGGAACAAATTGCTCCCCAAATTCTACTGAAGAGAACATGCAGGGTGACCATTAAACTGAAATCCCAATGAAGAAAACCAAACATGAGCGCACGGGTAAAGAAATATCAAAATCGCATGAGGCAATTCAAGTTGCGGAGAGCATAAGATTGGAAGCGCGGTACCACAAGACGCTTGACGCAGGATCAACAACCTATTCATGGCTCGATACTCGTGGCATGCCAAAGTGCCCCGACGCCAGAGCCGTATAGTGATACACCGCACCTCAAATCAAACATCAAGAGGCAAACTACTTGGAACCGAAATTGCTTAAATGAGGATTATACAGTTGAATAGCACGCTGCTGCAGATTATATTATCAGAAGTGACAATGCAGATATGACAGTAAGAATCAAATGGAAACAGCAGTATACCACTTTCTAATCATTCTCATGATTGTTTCCAGATTTATTTTACACGAGATGAAACATCAAATAATACACTTTCTTTCCTGTAATGGTAATCCCTCAAAATTGGCAGTGGCCTTTCGATGTCAAAACCCTCAAATGAAAAAAGGGAATATCCTACCTCAATGAGCTTCTATCCCAATCACAGCAATGAATCAATCTCATTGCTATACTAAGAAGCAACGGATCAATCTACCCTGACGCAAGAACGATGCCTTGTCTTTCCCTGAATCAAATGATTAAATGAGTATAGCACCATCATATTAGAGCTTGGACACCGATCTGTTGCATTTCTCTTAACCTCCAGATGGGGTAGATAGCACCTTCCCCAAGCTCTTCCGGATCCACTTGTTGCATTGCCCAGGCATAGTAGACGGTGTGTATCGTATCCTGGATACACAAACCAGTATCAGATTACATTCTGAGACATGCAATCACTCTTCATTACATGACAGATCATCGTGGTGTGCTTTCTCACTGAACAAACACATAACATCAATAGGGCTACATACCCATGTTAAATACAAGAGGGTGACAAAGGGATCCACGGCTAAACCATGCACATCTATTTACGACACTTTAGGCTGAAAGAATAAGACTTTGTCATTCTTAAAAAGTGTGGCTCCGTAGTTCACTGAGTTGTGCTGCAAACTTATCTTCATGCCGAAACTTGATTTTGAATTGATCCAGTTGGACTGACATGTCATCATCAGGGAGGAGAATTTCAAAAAGAAGAAAGCGGGGAATCTTGAATGATTCTGCAGTTAGGACTGGCCAACCAAAGAACTATATTGCTCCATAATTAGCTACATTAGGTGCAAAGATTAAACTTTAAGCCATTTCCCTTTCATGAAAGTTGAAACTAACACAGAACAAAAGCCATTGTCCAAAAGAGGGCACATGCAACTGAGAAAACAGCATTCACCAACTAAATGATTTAGCCTTTCTTTTTGCACTCAACACAAAAAATTGGCTTTTCCTTGATCACTTGGCCTCATCCAATCAAAAGTTTGACTTACCTTGCCACCTTCAGTTATGGCACCATTTCGGTCACGTACACAATATATTTGTTGAGTTTGAAACTGCCATTAGCGGGGAAATCAGTCAGATTTTGCTTGTAAATAACAAGCTCCTACGGATAGATAACAAGTGTGCAACAGCACAAGTAGCAGAGTACAATCATACCCCGACAATGATAATTGGTGAAGTGCCCATCATTTTCGTTTCTCTTACGTCAACATCGGACACATGCAGAATCTGTACAGGATAGAATTCAAGAGTTAGAACAAGTATAAATATATTACAACAGAATGTGACAATCAGAACCAACAAACCATGATAGTCCAGCAAATGAACTTGCAATATCTAATTGGAATAGTAAAAATAGGAAAAACAAAAACAACCACTTCCACAATCATTGCAGGGACATCAAAGCTAGAACAAAATATTCAAGACGCTATGCCAAAAGTAAGAACGTGGAAACAGAAAACTGCGAAATAGAGATAACAGAGCAATACAGCAATCCAAAAGATGCGCTATTAGAATTCAAAACCAGCCAAAAGCACATACATATATGTAATAATCGTAGATTGTGTGTGATACTTGTATACTATAACTCTTCTATTAGCTTGACATGCATGTGGTGAGACACTTCATCTAAAATTCAATTATTGAATCATTCATGTCATTTTGCAGCACTATAAATCTAAACAATCATAACGAAAAATATAATACAATATATATCATAAATCCAGAAGAATAACGACAATATGTCACAGAAAATCACAAAGATCCAGGCATATTTTACACTTTTATGCCGATTCAACACATCACCCATCTTAATTCATAAATGAGTCAGAAACCAGGATATCTACATCTGTGACAGACAACCATACCAGAGTGCGAGTAACATAGCTTGCATTGGCACCTAAATACTAGTAAAAGCCAAAAGAGGGGGGTACCATTACAACTTACCCACATTGCAGTTATTTGCATATGCACAATGTGTTCATTTCTCCTTTTGTTCTCACAAAACTTCTGACATCTATTACTTACACAGTTACTACTACATAAGAGAAACTAAGAAATTATTGAAACAAAGAAACAGGACATCAATTACTTTTGTCAGTGACTTCTCTTAATATTCTCCTTCACAGAGGCTAGAGTAAAAGAGTAAACACTTCACTTAGATAATTATATGTGCCTTAAATCATACCCTATTGTCGAAAAAAATGCCATGGCTCTGATAAGCACCATGCTCGGCTTTGCATCTCTCAATGATTTCAGAGCTACAATATTTCTTTAGAGTTTCAACATCTCCCTGCACAAAGCAAACACAAACATGATGATGGATAAAAGTAGCTTAAGTTCAGTTGTCCTAAGCAGAATCCATCACAAGGAATACAAGAAAAGCAGACAATCGATCTTTAGGAAATAAGCTCATTATCTACCTTAATGTAAGCATTGAGCACAGGATTTACTACTTCCTGGACTTCAGCCACAAACTCTGGTAAAGAGAAAGATCTAACCCACGAATAAAGCACTAGATGTCAGCCAGCTAAAATTTCACAGGAGAACCAAATAAAACTTAAACCACAAAAAAAAAAAAAAGAATGTGACCATACGGGTCTCGCCGGCGTATTTCCTTCATCGATGCTGCAGCATCTGTTTCTTGAAAGATAGTTTCATTGAGACTGTTAAGAGAGATAAACATAAGAAGAAAAACAGCTTTAACTGTGACAGGCAAAACAAGGACTGCAGGCTTGCGCATGAATTATGCTTGTATGTATGTGCTGCTATCTAGTGTGTGCAAGTAATGTCCAGGTATGAGTGCATACAGAGAAGGGGAGAAACCGCCCGCAGGGGGGGGGGGGAAGACTTGAACAACTTACTCCTGAATTTTATGCACAACGGGGTTGTCACTAGTTTCCCATCTCTCCCGCATATCTTCTGCAATCTGCAAAGTCAAACAGGCATAATTCAAAACGGATGAGAGTTTAAATTATGTTTAATATAATAACTTGCTTTTTATATAAAGAAGACATATACCAAGCAACAACATGATAATGACAAATGTGACAATCTATTGAATCAAGCAAAGTCGGACATAGTTGAACATGTGATACTACTTTCTTCTGCAACCAGAGCACCAGAAAATTACATATAGCACACAATGGGTGAGACTATTTTCTTTTCTTATAACATGGGGCATTTGAAAAACCGCCTCCAAGTAACTCTCAAACATAGGTTGACAGGTGTGGCTCCAAAGTTATTTGTGACACTGTAAATCAAATACAAGATCTGTTAGATTTAGAGCAAGCACTCGACCACTCAGCCAGTCCCTTGAAAGTTATGATGAGGCTAATTTATGCAAATTAACCTGAGTAAGAATTTTTAATGTATCAATTTCACAAGTCTTCAGCTGGGCTTTATGACTGCCCATATCAACTCTTTCTGTAGAACAATTGCATATATATGATGTCCTTGAATAAAGAAAAAAAGGGCAAATGCCCAGATGAAAAATTTGAGCAGCTGTCAGTAAGTTCAGCCACGTTCAGAAATCCCTAGTGACATAAGGGGTCTATCAATGCAGCACTACCACATAAAAACTGCTTATTAGGAACAAAAATTTCCCCTCACTCCTTACTATTATGCATGTGAGGTGATATTACACCAGACAAGAGAGGAGGGAGGATTAACAAAGAGAAAGGTGAACAGATTCAAACAACATATGCTTTTCCAGAAAACACTTCCAAGTAAGAGCAGGCTTCCCCCCACACAAGTCAATCCTATGGAACATACATCTGACAATGAGCGTAAAGACTCCCAAGGAAGAGTTGCAAAAGGATTTGGCACATACCTCCTGACCTTTCGTTACAACTGGCTCGCTCACATTACCAATACGCTTGAACATGGGATGCCCTTTGACCTACAGGAAGAAAACATTAGATTCAAGAATCATGATTAATTAATCTGTGATATTCTTTAAATCTGCAAACGGCTTCCATGCATAACAACTAGTAGAATAACATTACCTTCTCCTTAAATGCTTCCCACTTTTTACTCCATGGAGACTGCTTAGAAGGTAGAATAACTATATCAGTTCTTGTACTTCTTTCGACTGTTGACGTGGTAGGTGCTTGTTCCATATGCTTTCTCTTACTGGGGCTACCACTCAACTCATCCTTGACAATATCATATCCCTTCTTCGCCAAGTCAACAACCTTTACTTCCTTCAGCTTCTCGAAAGTCGACGAGACCTTAGGAGAAGAGGAAAAGAAGCTTGTTCTGTATTTGCCAAAATATGATTCTGTGTTATCACCAGAACCAGCCTGCTTGCATTTTTCTTCTGTTGATTTTCCCTCATTTCCACCTTTGGCGTGAGCATCGTGTTTTGTTGAACCACTCGCGGATGCTGATTCCTCTTGCTTCCCAATCCCCAACTGTTCTTTGACCTAAACGCAACACAAAAAGATAATATTGCAAACAGTCACTTGCATATAAGGAAGCATTATCAGGATTACAATGGATAAAAGCAACCACACCTCCTCAGTTGCAGAAGATATTTTTTCCTTCACATTGGCAGAAACCTGGAGATAACGTAGTATTATAGAAAACAAAAAAAACCCAAAGAATATTAATGAATGCCACTATGACTCAAAAATCCTCGCAAAAGAGGCACATAGCAAACATAGCAGAAGAGAAACGAGAATCACTACACAGAAGCATAATATAACCTACCAGGTAGCCAAGTGTAAAACTTTTGTGAACACTAAATTTCTCGCCAAGAAAACACAATCAAGTTCGCAGTTATTAAATCTATCGACTTTCATGAACAAGAAAATACTATACTAGATTTTGAGAGTCTGTTGCTTCAATGAATTCACTTTTCGAGGACCAAGGCATATTCCAAGGGAATCAACTCAGACCATCTTCTGGCCCAAAAGAACAGCAAAGGAAAGAAAGATATTCATACCTTCTTTGCGGTAGCTTCAGCCTCCATCCAAACACCATCCACATGCTTGTACAACTGCTCAGTTGTCTGTTTTGTTCTGCAAAAGCCAGTCTACAGCCTTAGCCCTTTATCCAGATGTTCAACCAACCATGACATACAGAAGTATGTCTCAGATAGTCAGATGGTTAGTTGAGGGGACTACAATCTCATTAATAAAAGGTTTTCAGCCAACAGATTTCCAAATTACCTAACTTTAACCTCCTCTTTCACCCCTTTAAGCTCTTCTGCTTTTTCTTTCAGCTGCTTCACTGACTTTTGAAACTCTGGATTGCTATGACCAAAGGATTCAAGAAAATCGTTAACATGACTAAGCCTCTCAAGGGAACCGAGCACACTAATAAATTATTAAGCCAAGCAATATCATTTGTCCGAAAGTCCAAGTGCCGAAAACAATGAAGCAGACAACATCAAAAGTTCTTGCTTCTTTATTTTAACTGATATGCCCAAACTCATGCACGATATAATGAAGCTTCGCCATTTCTGTATTTGCAATCTATATGACACTCAAATGGTATATCTGCATCTCGATATCCCATATGTAGTCTCATAGCAAATGAAAGGAAAGTGCTCCGCGGTGGCAAATCAATATACTATGAGCTCATCCAAAAGAAAAAAAGGGTCAAACCTTTACGCATGTTTTGAGCTATAAAACCATAGAAAGGATACTTCATTCTACAGATTATTTCCTTATGATTGTAAGTGATGTTAAATCTTCAATTACCAGCTACCAGAAGCAAATGAGACTAAAATGTGAACCAAGACCACGATAACACAAAAGGGCAAAGAAACAGTTTAACAGTCCTAATTGTAAAAAGAGCATTGAACATGATACAGACGAGTGGTCCCTGATCAAACCGCTCCTGGTGTTCGAACTGGTCATTAATGGTCGGCTTCATTGGTATCGTTTCGGAATGCGTTGCGAACACTTTCATTTTTTAGCGTCTCTACTCCCAAAACAAGAAGAAAAAACAGACAGACTAAGCGGGTAATCAAAAAAATCGGCGTGGCGTACCCGCTAGCTTCGCCTTGAATTTTTTTAGAGAACTCATTAAACACGGTATATCGGCGATCACACAAGCGCCCAGCTGCGGTAATCAACCTCAGCCTCGAACTCGAAGCCTATATGACAATTCAATTAACAAACTCACATCAAAAGAATTACATTATATAGAGAAAAATCAATAAAAGCCCAGAAATTCTCTTCCCTATTGCAAGAAATATAGAGAAAAAAAAAGAGAGAAAGAGCTCGAGCAGGAAAAAACCTGGGCATGAGAACTAAGGCGGAGACGAAGAGGGTGTCCCAAGAGCACCATGTCTCGGACCAGCTTCTTGGCCGCCATTATTGTGAGCTATACCAAATTGACAATGGGGTTACTCTCTTGTGACGTGACTTTGCTTAGCTTCAAAACAAGGAATTGGAGAAGGGTTTTGTACGGATTTTTGAGCACCAGCGCCGAAGAACGGTTTGTGAGGAAGCTGTTTCGCCAAATGTTCTAGCTCCCCCGACTACTTGAGATCATTGGAGGAAGATCGCCAGGCAGGGGCACTTGGGTGGCCGAGAGGGAGGGCCCCGTCGTCGTCGGCGGCGGGGGTCGTGGTGGTGGTGGTGGTGATCGTCGCCGTCGTGGTGGTGGTGGCCGTCGCCGTCGTGGTGGCGGTGGTCCTATTCGTGGCGGTGCGAATCGGTTTCCGAAGACATTTTGACCTGAACTGCGGGGGTGGTCCTGCGATAGCTGGTGTTATGTATTTCGCTGGACTTTTGTTAGACTCTGAACGGGCCCAGGAAAGCCCGGCCCGAAAACAGTGGAGCGCCATCTTAAAATTTCTAATGATGCTTGAATCATGTCAATCGGACTCCATTTGTTGGTACAATTAGGATTAAACAGAACCTGCTTGAGTTTGTACTACGCTTCGTACAAACTCTCTCAAACCCTATCGATGACAAATTGGTTTTTCATTAATTATTTGATTACTTATAACTAGAGTTGCCACTAAGTTAGGAGCCAAGGAAGACATGAGATATTGCTCACTTTTACGAACTAGAGATTCATAAGTCAAGGAACTCGGTTCACAGAAGAGAAACCGCTTCTGATGCCATTATCCCTCCACAACATTTGAAACCCTTTGATCCAGAATTCCCATTACTGCAAGAGAAACAAGAAAAAAGTTGGAAACATTCATCAATCAGGCAGACACTTGAAAGGGGAACATAGATGAAATTTCCATGGAAACCAGCCAATGTTCCTGATGATTCAGCATTTTTACCTAGTTCATCCGCTTGAAACCTGGAACAGATTCCAATTGCAAAACGTATCCAAATATCACGGCAGAGATAATTTAGCAGACTAATTGACAAAGCACTTTGCAAAAGAAGGTACTATGCAAGCAAAAACCAGTTTGCCGATAGGAGAATATGTCTTGTTTAAGAAGTTTAGAGGGGATTGATGATATATTAATTAAGTAAACATTTTGATTATATAATAAAAATGAATAATAATAAAGGATGATATATGTCTTACAAGGATTTGAGGTCTATAGTGACGCGTCATTAAGAGGACTTGGATGTGTTTTGATGCAGCATGGAAGGGTAATTGCATATGCGTCGTGCCAGTTGAGGCCGCATGAGATGAATTATCCGACGCATGACTTGGAACTAGCAGAGATCATTTTCGCCCTCAAGATTTGGAGGCACTATTTGTGCGGGGAAAAGTTCCAGATTTATACGGATCACCAGAGTCTGTGTCTCTATGTTCTCCCATTTCGTGCGGTTGGCAAAATTTGCGACCTCATGTGAAGGAGGATTACAAAGTTCGGGCTATTTCTTATGAAAACTAAGTTGTAGAGGTTTATGAAAAATGAAAATATATTTTGTTACGCATAGGTAATTCAATTGCGCCATGTACCGGGCTGCTAGTAGTCTGATTCATTGAAGATATTTGATGGATTTAGTATGTATGTTTAGATCCATCATTTTAATGGTCTAAATTATATTTAGTAGATATACAAGAATAATGTAATAATTTATATATATGTTGTGCTCAGGGTGATAATTTCTCTTCAGGAGATCCTGGCCCCGATCATTGGAACGATAAAACTGCCAATCAGAATGAATAAAATAGTAATATGTGCATTGGAAATTTTAAAACTTGTCACAAAAGTTAAAATAGCTAATTCATAGTTAAAATTTCAACCATCTCGAAAGGACTGTGGGGACGAGGGATACGCTTATTGCGGAGCTTGTCAGTGAAAATAAGCAGCTCCGAGAGACTGTGGCTTCCCTATCGTTTATAGAATGAGTATCCGGGAAGGGCGCCCTTTTGTTAAAAGCCCCTGTCTTTTATATTTTGTCTTTACTTCGATACATTTACCTTCTTCAAAACTTATCCTGAATCCTTTATCACATAGTTGGCTGATGCTGATTAAGTTGTGGTTTAGTCCCTTTATGAGAGAGATATACTCCATGATCAGATTGCCCGGCTTTATGTTGCCTCTACCGGCAATTCTACCTTTATCTTTTCCTCCAAAGGTGATAGTACCACCGTTTGGTAATTTTTCAATTTGAACCAATTTTTACTCTTGTTTTGGAAAACCCTACTTTGGATCCTTTGTACCCCTTCGTTTTGTTATTTTTATAGAGACTTTTGTGATCCGAATTTCCAAACACTTTATTCTTGAAAGTTGTTCCAAACATCATGAAGTTTTACATACTTTAATTTCAGAATTTTTGGACTTGATATGAGTAGTACAACAGCCTCATTTTCGGACCGTGTAAAACTGGCGCGCAGAGAGGCTGAGGACACGTCGGGTGTGGTCACAGGTACGATTTATCTATGTGATCATGCTGCGCATGCCTTATTGGATCCATCTCATTTAATAAGAAATTCTTTGTAAAGTCTTACTACATGTAGCATTACTTGTATACAAATCGATGTCAAATACTCTCAAGACTCATCGACAAAATCTAAATTACAAAGTGAGATCAATTGCTAGGATCTATTGGGCGACATCCAACGTCTGAGCTTGGTCCCGTTTAACTAAGAAACTAAGCGGATGAAGAAGACCACTTGAGGCTTGGTTAGGCGAGAATGAAAATCCGAGGCAACATAGCAAACCACCAACCCGACGGCGAACAATCTCAACTCACTGTACTACTCTCTCAATTTTTTTCTCTCGGCAACATTTCTCATCTGTCTTCTTGTTCTCTCGCGGTTGTTTGGCCCCCTTAGACTCCCCCAAGACTCCCTATTTATGGGATTTGACCTCTGTTGATTATTTTCGGGATACTGACCAATAGGGAATGGCTAATTAGGAAAACGGTACGTGGACCCAAGAACTCGACCGCGAATCGAGTCCGATTTCGAGAAACGACGAGGAAATATTTTGGGCCAATGTGGGCCGATCCAAGGAGGGTGACGGATTTGGTTTGGCCAACGACGTACGATCGGATCGCGGGTGATTCCGCGCAATCGAGATAATAGAGGTGGGATGTATTTGATGCGTTAGTTATATTTGCCACTGTCTTAACCAAGTAGGTCTACAGTTTCACCCTGCTTGAGTGATTCTTGGGTGAAATTTTTTTGCCATGACGGATTGTTTCCTTTTCTTTTTCGTATTGATCCGTTTTGTCTTCGAATGGAATTTCATTCTCAGGATTCAGCTCATTATCCATACCGCCCCAACCATTAGGCACTTTGAGTGAAATTTTAATTTTTTTAGGTGAAAAAAAAGCAAAAAATTAAAAATTTCAAAACTTCACAGAATGACTTAGAATATCCGTGGCCACCCACTTTGAGTGAAATTTAAATATTTTTAGATGCCGAAAAAAAATATAAACATAAAAAAATCAAAAATTTTAAAACTTCACAGAATGACTTAGAATGCCTCTAGCCACCCACTTTGAGTGAAATTTTAGGTGCCCAAATGGTATTTTTGATTTTTTTGATTTTTTAATTTTTTTTCGGCACCTAAAGAAAATTAAATTTCACTCCCTCATGCATAGCTAAGTCATGTAATCAGCACAAGCTTCAACTAGAAACACAAGTGCCATACCACATTAAAAGTACTATGTCCTGGCAGCGCTGGAGCACCTCAACAAGCAAAATCACCGGTACATGGCACTTATCTTCTAGCAAGTTTTTCTTAGATAAGTATGAGAAAACGACTTCTATCCTCGCAAAGGACAATCGAATACATTCAACAAAAAGACATTGTCTGTACTGCTCAAATCACAACGAGACAGATCCTATTTTACTACATTTTAACTTTTAAGTCAACAAAGTCTGAGTAAAAATTGACAAGCTTAGGTAACATGAAATGTTAGATCATGGCAGCATCAGATAGATGAAAAATCATATGGGAAACCCATGCCATACACCACAATTTAGCAATTGCATATCATGACAAGTTACAGGTGTTGGATTTAAGGGAGTGCCTTGAACTTAGTGTTTTTCCAAATGAACTGAAGTAAAAAAATCTCCGACGTCTCCATCTTGAAAAATGCACAAAATTTGAAAGATTCCCTATCTTGATCTCTGTGTTGGGTGTTGGGTCAACGACGCGTCCTGGGACGTCGCACAAATTCGACCCTGGTTGGGATGCTCGCGTGCCATAGGGTTCGGGGTGTGGCAGCTTTTTCTAACGAAGATTTTCCAATGGATGGCCGTTCACATAACAAGGCCTTATATATTGCCGTCAAATGCCGGGGCAAGGAAGTATCTCGTGTGTGGTGCAGGCATTAATTAGCATGAGCATACGTATGGCGTACGTGTGACTAAGTGTGTGAGCGTATGTGTACATTGTCACTCAAAAAAGTATAAGTACCACTAGTCTGTTTCCATTTCCAATAACGCTAAGGAAAATAGCATATCATATGCTTATGCAAACTAAAAGAAAAGAATTGCAATTTAATCCTAAGTACAAAATTGTTGTAAGAACATTAGACGGGTGAAAACGAGAAAAAAGGTCTCAACAAGGGTCCGGAGATTTTCAAGGCTTGATGTACTGAGAAATGATCCAAGGAAACAGATTAAGCCATGAACTATTAAAGGCTTAAGATTTCTTGGATGAGATCTCTCCTGAAGCCTTCCTGTAATAATTTATGGTGTCATGACTCCAAACTATAAACATCGCACTGTTCCTGCAACATTCATAGAGAATCTGGCTCTATTTTTGTTGCTGGTTCGAGTTTGAAGATTTTTGTGATAAAACTGGTATAATTTCGGGTTTTTGGTGATATTTTTCATTTTTTTTGTAAATATATTTTAGTACTTTTCTCAAAAATCGTTAAGAAAATCAAGGTGTTCCGCATGCAATGCAATGGATGCTGCGGACATGAATTTTATATATTTTTTCCCTTATCAACTACTTCTATAGCTTTCTCAGGTACTCAAGCTACACGGAAAAAAAGTTGAGATTGGGGTGAAATTGTCGAAGTTGATACTAATTTTTGAGTAATTGAGATCATTCCACAAAGAGGGAAGCTGGTTTTGCTGTTTTTGCGGGGCTTCCAAAATTTGAAGTACATGAATTTCAGTTATCGTGAGTCGCCCTGGGATGTCGTATTATTCGACCAGAGAAGTGTGTCGCGTG